CTGCAGCCCTTGGTGGGATGATTCTCAAAATTTTAAAAGAACTTAAGCATTTTCTCCTTTAACCATGAAACCTCTCAAATCTCTAACTTCATCACTGGGACGTCATAAGAACCGATACAAAATTGATTCTAAGCTTCTGAAAACACGTCCATCCCAGTTTATCTCTGATGAACTTCATGTTACTGGACGGTGACGACTGAGCCTTCCAGGTGCTTCTCCTTCTATCTGCTACAGTTTTCATGTAAGAACTGCTCAGACTTTAGAAAAGTTTCTGCTATAGACTCACTGTTTCGATCCAAGTAGACTCTGACACCCAGGCTTTATGCGGACACGTCTTTACTCAGAGACACGTTCACGATGAGCTGCTGCCCGGTGAATGAACAATGAAGCTGAAGCCCAAAAGCAGCTGCCTAATGGTGGTTTATTGGCATTACTATGATTTTTATAGTGAAGTAACAGGTGGAAAAATATGCCAGGTGTCTCTCATCACACTAAAAAGGCAACTCTTTAGGATAAGGGAGTCGTAAGGGACTAATTTGGTGGGATGGTTCCTAAATTCATAAAAGAATTTTAGCGTTTTCTTCCTCTCAAGTCTTTAACGTCATCACTGGGATGTCATAAGAAGTGATGCAAAGTTGATTCTAAGCCTCTGAAAACATGTCGGTCCCAGTTTGAGCGCTGAGGAACCAGATGTTCTTCGATGTTCACGTTGGCGATTGAGCCTTCCAGTGGCTTCCTCTCATATCTGCTACAGTTTTCATGTGAGAACTGCTCAGACTTTACAAAGTCACTGCTGAAAATCAACTCTTCTATTGGTCCGACTCAAGTAGAGCTTGTCAAGCCGACCTCATCTCCTAATGTGTTGTAACTTTTTAGTCCTAAAACTTGGATGAATCATAGATCCATCCATTATCTTCTATTGATTCAGGTCGTTCCAGACTTGCAACGTTTTCCAGTTTCGTCTGGAGGATCCTGAGGTGTCTCTAGGCTGGATGAGATATGTGATCCCTCCATGGAGTTCTGGGTCTACCTCAAGATCAGATCAGAACATTTCAACGCAACTCTACTCCGAGCTCTTCATCATATCTCTAACAAACTCACTTTGGCTGCTTGAATCTTACATGTTCAGTCACTAGCAAGCGCTCATGACCACAGATGACAGATGGAACGTAGACTAATTGGCAAATCTAGAGCTTTATATTTATTTTTTTATTGTCTTCTCTTATTCACGTTTGTCTTTTTAAAAGTTTGGGAATAAGTTTGCTTCGACTCGAGTGTTTATACTCTCCTCAGATTTGCACTTCTTTTCGTGACACTTCAGTATTTAGCTTTGAGAGCTTCACTGTTTTAGGTTGTACAGATTTCCTCTCTGCAGTGATTCCATTGCAATGAACTGACTTCTCCATGAAACTTTGCTCTTTTAAAAGCTGCTGTGAGTGGGAGTCCTGCCCTGCTCTGTTCTATTCCTAAAAACATCACTACGGATGGATATTGCTAAGACTTTGACGGTACCATTACTCTTACCAATACTGCTTATCGATCTGGTACTTTAACAGTACTTTATCTGTGCTTTTTGTGTTTTTGTTTCCGTCAAGAGAACAGAGTGCTTCTTCTACCGCTGCCAGCACCAACGTTCAGTGAGAGAAATGGGGAAAATAAAGGAAGACAGAGTTTGTCTGCAGCCCCCAAACCACTAAATCCCCTTTTCTCTGAGCAGCTGAATTTCTCAACAACACTTCAGATGCTTTGACCATCTGAGACTGAATTTACGAACGCAGCTATACCTCAACAATCAGCTGGCTAATGGATAGCTTTGATGATTGATGCATGTTCTTACAGCTTGGTTGCCTCTGTGTGAAGGCTTCAGGCTGACAGCATATGTAACAGACCTGCCCGGGGCAATAAAAGGTGAACTACAACCTCAGGAGTGCATCTCTTCACCTGAATGTGGTGAACTTTAGCTGGATGTTTGCACAAACTGGTTGTGTTTCAGCTGCTTGGAAGATAGATTTTAGTACAGCGTAATTACAGTTTTGAACATTTTCTCCTCTTTGGAAATGGTGAAAATGCAACTTAGACGAATTAGGAGCTGGAGAAAAAATGTGCAAGTGCAGCAATAAATAACAGAAATACATTGGGAATCGATTTTTCTAATTGCTTCAGTGCCGATAGCAGAACTAATAACATGGCGGCTAATTAACCCTCCAGTATTTGATCATTTAACTCCAGCTTGGTATTAAATCACCATTAAACATCACCGAAAGTCAGAAATTAGCTGGTTTTAGATCTTAATGTTCAACAAAATGACTGTGTGGTGCAGCGGTGGCTTGTTGGGTGAAGCACTGGATGAATATGTTGTGGGTTCAAGCCCCAGTGATGCCAATATTGCCACTCTTGGGCCTTTGAGCAAAACCCTTAAGGCTTCTTCTGCACCGACTAAAATAAACAAAAGTGCAGCTCAATGTGGTGAAGTTAGTAGCTCCATGCTGTTTATGTGTGATCATGCAATTCACAGGAGATAGAATTTGTGCTTGCAAGACGTGTAGGTTTTCCACTTTTCATGTTTCCTGCACAGATTCTCATTTCACGGCTGCGTTTTTCAGCCGCCACATCGAGAAAAAAAACCATCAACGTGAAGCTATAATTGGAGAAAATCCATTACGACAGCAGAATATTGTCCTGCTCACATGTTCACATCAGCTAAAGCGTCCGTCTGAATCAGTGTTCAGGGGCTGACGCGAGCCGCCGTCCTCGCAGATGACATGACGCAGCAGTTTGACCGAAGCACCTTTTAGAAAAACCGCTTGATTAAATATGAAAACTGCAGGATAAAAAGCCTTCAAAACCCCACCGTGTTCTTTAAAAAAAAAACGACAAGCTGATTTTTATTTGGTGTCATTAGTCATAAAATGAGAGCAGGCGTCTGTTTTTTTTTCCCGAGCGCTGCGTGTCTCCTTTCACATCCAAACTCTTCAAATAAAGAAACGCTGCTCGTCTTCAGGTTGTTTTTCCCGCCGCCGGAGGTTTCAAAGCTCAGGAAGCTTCTGCTAAACGGGGTCATCAGCTGTCAATCAAACTTGCAGTGAAAAAAAGGGAGCGCGACTCTGGATTGACACCTGAAATTGTGGCTTTTCTGAAGGTGTTTCGTTTGGTCTGACACTTTCAATTAGGAGCTGAGAAACGGCGTCGGGGCAGACGTCGCCTCGCCTGCTCATTAAGCCGACATTAGTGATGAAGGTTTTGGGAACTCTGCAGCTCGGGGGGGAAACAGCCGGTTAGAAGATGTACAAACGCACACGTCAGGAAGGTTATATTTAAACTGCGGCGACTTTACGCTGTTAGTTTCACCAAAAAACAATCATAGCAAACTGTTACCATATGTCATTATGTAATTCAGGGGTGGAATGAATTCACTGATTTAAGGTTGTGCATCAACTAAACAGAAAATACCTTTATTTTGAAAAAAACAACTCAAACATTAGCTTGTTTTCTTTTGGTTCATGGAATCATTTCCTGAGAACATTACCTAATTTCCTCTTTTGGTCACTTTTGCATATCCTGCCTGGATGTGATTTTTTTTTTTATTGGTAATTTTCAAAATAAGTTGTATCTGATTATAAATTGTGTTATTAACGTGACTAAAATGAGTTAGATTCTTAGACACTTATCTTTATGTGTATTTTGTGGTGTCAGAACTTAATCTCCATAAATAATAATGCTATATGGTCTCAGCTTTAATATTTATATCAGCTAAGTTCTGTGAACTTCTGTTATCCTCTGTAATTATATCACTGTAGGGTATTTAATATGTTTTTAAAGCAATTTAAAAAAATCTAGTATCTCTAATATGTAAATTGTTCAGGTAAACTCATCAATTAATCCACTGATTTAAATTTGCCCATCAATGAAACACAAATATATATTTAGATAAACAATCAACTCCAACATCAGCTTGTTTTCTTTTTCAAAGTAAGTCACACATCTGCCTGTCTTTATCAGAATAAATTATAATGTAAATAACAGCGTCATCTGAACCTGACAAACCCTCAGTTAAATAATAAAGCTTTGTTCTCCGCAGTGTTTCTGGTGTAAAAGAAATCAAACATCTGAATGTGTTGCTCTGATCTGTGTCTGACTCACACATAGTGCAGTTAAACATACAGTATTTTATTAAGACGCGTATTGAAGGAAAACAAAAAGTTTCCAGAAGCTGTCGGCTTAGTATTTGAACAAAGAGACATTTACTTTATCGTGTTAGTAATTGATCCCTGTTGCAGTTGTTCGAATGGCGGTTCTTTACATCTAGAACCTCTTGCTGAACCATCTCTGATTAATTATCATAAACTATGGACATTTAAAGTAACATCTGCAAAAGTTGAACTTGATATTTCAAGATACATTTCTTTAAAAAAATTGTATGTTGACTGACTTGCAACACTTTTTTTTTTTCTCACATTGAAATTTGAGGCTGTTTAAACAACAATATCTCAGGAGCCATCCATCCATTATCTATACACCGCTTAATCCTCATTAGGGTCACGGGGGGCTGGAGTCTATCCCAGCTGACTTAGGGTGAAGGCAGGAGACACCCTGGACAGGTCACCAGTCTATCACAGGGCTACACTTAGAGACAGACAACCAAGTACACTCACATTCACACCTACAGACAATTTTAGAATCACCAATTAACCTCAACATGTTTTGGAACTTGTGGGAGGAAGCTGGAGAACCTGGAGAGAACATGCAAACTCCTCGCAGAAAGAATGAACCGGCGACCTTCTTGCTGCGAGGCAACGGTGCTAACCACTGATCCACCTTGTAGAACTATTAAAGATGAAAACCTAAAATTTGAACTGTTGTTTCTTATTATGGCATTGAATCAGAATATCCATTATTGGAGAAGTAGATCAAATAATCTCTGGTTACGGTTGAGCTGAAATATGAAATAAAATCAAAATCATCTTGAAAAATTTGCCTGCAGATTAACAAAAAACGGATAATGCAGAAGTCAACAAAAGCTATTTTCTGAACCACATGTAGCTGCATGTGACAATCATACAAAACAAAACATAGAGAATACTGGTTAATTTGCAACAACTTGGCTGGTAGCAAACCTTGATGGTCCCAAACACACTGGATGTTTTATTTGACTTTTGGTTTAAAAAAAAAACAAAAAAAACAACGATTCAGCTGTTTGTGGTGTGCAGAGTTCAGCTTCTTTCATCCAGCATTACACAACTCATAGAACTGTAGCTTTTATTTTTCTCAATATATCCTATAAAAGAGCCATTCAAGCATGATGGGGCACTAAGTTAAGTTGCTCTTCGGATGCGATTTAAAACCTTCTTCATGGTCAAAACTGGCCGAAGAATGACGGAAAACAAAACAACGAGCTCTGCACTTGTGCACCTCTGCAGCTGCACGGATTTATTGACGGGAACATCTCATTGTCGTCAGGACTTCTCAGCTGTAATCAATCAGCCCGACCCAGAGCCAGGTATGGATTACTGACCGCTCTGAACATATTTCTTGTGCGAACATCACACAGCTCAGTGGAAAAACTACAAGGAAAATGTGAAGGATTTTTCAGCCCGGGGGGTTCCTACACAGCTTCTGCTCGTCTATACCCAGGAGCCCGTCGTCTCAGAACTCGCCTGGAGCCAGATAAGCAGCAGAAAATAAAGTAAAGACTAATTAAGACGACTGTCTATGAAAGTGAATTTGGTGTTTCTTAAAACCTGTAGAGATCCTGCAGTTATTTCCCTCCGCTGCAGCTTAGAAAGTATAAATGTGTGCTAAAAAACCCCCACCTTAGGTCTTTAAACGACCCCTTTCTGGGGCAAAAACACTCCAAGGACCTGGACTGCAGCACCGAACACACATGGGGTTTCATTTGAATATTAAGAGAAGCATGAAGCGGCGAGTTGCAAGCGTCAAACGCCTCATTTTAGAGCGTTCTGGTGAATCTTTACGCACCAATTTGTTCCTTTTCTGCATCAATTTATGGTGGAATTGTTTATTTATGTTGAGGAAAGCATTCAATTCAGACACCAGGTGACAAATGAAAAAATAATGGAATATATGTGGATGTAATTTTATAAAAGGTTCAGCGGCTCCTTGAGTTTAGAAATCATGTTTTTGGAATCTGTGCAGACGAAGAAAGAGCTCTCAGGAGGCACTGTAATGTGTATTCGTGATGTTAAAGCAGTTTTACAAAGCAAATACAATGACAAATCATCTAAATACTGATGCTGATAGATTGACTTTATCTCTCTGAAATGTACGATAATGTATGTGTGCATGAGGGACTGCTACCTTGTAGTTTCGGCAGGTTGGGTTGAAAGCGTTGGTGCCGCACGCGAACAGAGTTTCGTCGTTCCGGGGCACCAGGACTTTAACGTAGTTGTAGCACTCGTCCTGCAACACAAACAGACGTGTACAAATCTGATCTTTACAAGAATGAAAAGGTCTGATTTCCTAATTCAAACCCTGTGATGAAACATTTTCCCAAAATGCTGCTCGTCGTATAAAGAAAACTGGACTAAACCACAGAAAAACATGCACGAGGCTGCACTGAACTGCTTGAATCAGAGACAAAAAAGAGGAAGAAAAGGTGGTTAACTGCTGGAGGTAAAAGCAGAAAACAGAAAAAGAAAAGCCGGAGGCTGAACTCACGCTGTTCTTCCCTCTGACCGTACACTTGCTGACGTCTTTGGATTTCCACGTCAGCTTCTGAAACGCACGGAGAGGAAACGCAGAAGGTTATTTTCTCATCGCGGCGGGTTAACAAGCTTTGTTGATTAGACGTTAACACGGAGGTGAGGAGGAAGGTGAGTCACATCTGATTGCAGCGCGGTTTGCAGAAACACTCAGAGTCAATCAGGGAGCAGCTACTGAGACTGCAGTTCAGACGCATGGAGGGAAATTACGACAGAAACCTGCTGTCTGGATGCAAAACACATTCGATGGGAACATTCACATCAACGCCAGCAGATCCTTAAATCCACACAGATGTAGAAACATTGGCCTTCAACTGAGAAAAAAAAATAAAAATCAGCCCTGAACCACATTTTAAATAACCGACTTTGTTATTAATGTGATTGGAAGGAGTTGAGATTCTTACATACTGAGTTATCATTTTACATTTTCGTAGGATCAAAAGTTTAGCTTTAATTAGTCAAGTTAATCTCCACAATGCTGCAGAGTCTGAGCCTTAAAATATACATTAGCTACATTTCATGATTTATAATTCAGCTATAATATTACATTAATTAGGCTTTTTTTTTCTCTGCTTGTCAAAGTTTTGTATCCCTAATATGTAAATTACTCAGTTAAACTCACACCATAAATAACCCTACGAGGTCTTAACTCCAATATCTGGACCGTTCTATATAAACAACAATGACTGTTTGACACAAAGCGTCTGAATCTTACACAAAGGATTAAGATTAATTCAGATCCGATAGTGGACTCGGACCTGAACTCTGATTCCATAAATGCTATTGAATAGAATAGAATAGAATAGAATAGAATAGAATAGAATAGAACTTTATTGAAATTGTTGTAATTTGTATTGGACCTAGGTGGCACAACACTGGATTTTTACAGATATTTTCTGATCCTTCGTGGCTGATTATTGAGACATTTTAACCACCTACACACAGAGAACATCAGGTCTCTTCTACAGTGGAATCAATAATGTTTTGTCAGCTACTTAGCATGATGGCCCACTGGCAGCTACATATACAATCCAAAGTTTTTTAAAATGCACACATTCACAGGGAAATACTTTAAGTAACACAAAAAGTGTGACATTAGTTGGAATTAATCATTTTATAGGAAATTTTGACGCTAGACTGTAAAATTTTAGATTTCTATGCTAAAGGTTTTCAGTTTAAAGACAATAATGATTATGGATACAATTTTGATAAAATTACTTAACAAATAACCGGCTGCCTTATCAATCAGCAATCGATTAGACAAAATTAACCCAACAGACGAGGGTTTTTTTTCTTGATAGAGCTTGTTTGAATGCCCCTCCAATGGTGTTGATTATCAGCCCCTAGGCCACTGTAACGGTGTCTTAGTGCACTTCAGCTCAAAAATAAATAAATAAATAAATAAATACAAGTACTTTGCCCGGAAGCCATTAAGCATCACAAAAGATTGTCTCATGGTGGCCTTTCACTAGCCAAACTCCCACAACGCTCTCTGCTAGCAGTCTGACTGATCGCCTCCTGAGGTCACTACAGGGTCCAGCAGTAAGAGGCTCCACCTGGTGGCCCAACCAGGTACTGCAGCTAATCTAAAATACTAAAATACATTTTCTGCCTTACAAGTCAACATATTTTGAATCACTTAAATTAATCATCTCTACTGATGAAATGCAAGAATCGTCACAGAACCCCATAACTGTGCAACACAATAAGAAACTATGTGAAAAACCAGACAGACATAGATGTGAGAACCAAAGTCGTCATTTAAATGGATGAGTTTTCTGTATACCAATGCACAGTGTTTTCAACCCTTCACAACATTAAAACCACTGGTCTGACCAACTCTGTGTTCACTTTCTGTACCATCCACCCCACATGAAGTAAATATGAATACATCAGTGGTTTCCACTGACATGCAGGAAAACATCACTGGTTCCACCTGAAAGAAAAATCCTGCAAATCCTGCAGATCTAACCAGAGGTAACAGTCTTCACATTCATCATGTTTTCATTATAAATGGATTATCTAACCATCATTGTCCTATTTCTAAGGAAGATCCTTCGGCTTATTTCAAATAAATGTCACTTCTTTTTGTCTTGATAAGCAACGTCGGCGTTATTTGAGATCTATTTTGATGGATACAAAGGACGCGTCTGTCTATAGGCTCCTTTACATTAACTGCTTGAAATGATTCTTTTTGATCTTTTTTCAAGATTCGACGTGCCACAATGACAGCCAGACAGCTTGACTTATCATCTCAAGTACAATCCACACAGCACTGGCAGCTGAATTAGCTTATATCTCAACTCGACGGGGTTGTTTTTTGCAGAAGCAAACAGAATCTGTGGCAGCTTTGGTTCGGAGGTTCCGGCAGAAAATGTTAAACCTGAGAATAACACGAGTTCATCACCGCACAGTACAAACTTTGAAGTGTAATGTACACAGCATGCGGACGGAGATGCGGAGCGGGATGCGATGTGGTCGTCGGCCGAGCCAGCGAGGTCGGATCGCTGATAGATAACGAGAGTAACAGCTCACATCAAAGCGCCTCTGTAGCCCGACATCCCACAATGCACCGGGAGGCCCATTACTGTCAGGAGCCACCCTGTAACCTCTTCTCTTTGATGAGGAGGAGGTGCGCGGATCAAAGGAAACGTGTCCTCCGTGCCGCCTCACGCATTACGAGCTGCTGTAGTTTTGTTCTGCCGCCCTGATATTTACTGCGTCTATTGTGCAGAAAGTAGAAAAGCTTGTGTTGCTGAGCTGTCAGCCGTCAGGACTGATGCCGAGCTCTGAGGGGAAGATTCTGATGTAAGACTGAATCACCGAGCGAAGCAGCGGCACAGACATCAAGCTTATTCGACGTATTCTGCCGCCGCAATAAAGGACGACTACGCACAAAATTTAATTAGCAAAGTCTTTTTCGTTTGTGTCGTCTGCAGCAAACGGAGCAGCCGAGTAAGAGTCTTTGCCGAGGTGTAGTTACTCTTTAACCCTCTGAACCCCACTGGATTTGAAGAGCAAAAATAAACATTTAAAAAATAGTCAGATTTACAAGATTTATCAGAGCTAGCAACTGTAAAAACAGAAAAAAAAAGTTGGATTTTCAACTTTCTGATGGTCCTACAGATACCCATCTATGACATGTCAATTTGTCGGGAAAATTAACTACATTTAAGCTCTAAATCACTATATTTGATCAAAAACACCAACTTCTACATGCCTCAATTTTAAATCAGCCAAATGTAAACCATTTGCTCCAACCAGATTCTGTAAAATAAATAAATAAATAAATAAAAAGATGTGTTTCTTGACACCACTGAGCAGTCATTAGCCATTAAAAGCAATGGTAATAAAAAATACAATAAAATTAAATAAATAAATAAAAAACGCTGTCTTCAGTTCAGCCAAAAAGTCCCAGAATATGGCTATGGTTGCAGATGAGTGCTGATTTTTTAAAATAATTTTTTACATAATCTGGTTAAAGCAAACACTTTTAACATTTTTTCTAGCAAGTTTTTTAAAAATTCAGCAGGATAACTACATTGATTTTGATGAAATATGACGATTTTTAGCTTAGGTTTGGTTAAATTTTCCAACCAAACAGCACGTTACAGATGAGAGGTTCAAGGTAGAAGTTGGGAATCTGATTCTGTTTTTCTGTTTTTACAGTTTTTGACTGATAATTGGTTTAATTTTGTCAATTTTTTAAAAAGAAAACATGCCTTTCAACATCCTTTGATGGGTTTTTTTTGTGGTTAAGAGGGTTAAATCCTGCAACTACAGAAGAGAATCCAGAAGCGACTGAACCCTGGATGTTCCTCGTGTACATGCAAACCCTGTTTGAGGGTCTCTGTGTCTTTTAAAAGGAACAAACTGTCCTCAAACCTTCACACAGCTCATAACAGCTCCTGTCAGTGACACTGACTCAGAGCAGATGCTGAGCTGAGCCAAAAAATCTTAAAAGAGGATTTTCTTTTTTTTTAATTTGTTATTTGCTGAACACCTTTAACCTCACACAAAAAAAAAAGCTTCTTTCAACTGTGCTCCCAAATCTCAGTTATCGATTCCCTGAGCTCAGTGTGGTTTTCAGGGACCTGAATTAAAGAGAAAAATAAGATGCAAGTTTCAAATACACCAAGTCACGCATTGAGAACAGAAGCTGGAACTAAAAAGCTGAGATTTCTGCCACTTTTGACCTTTTGTCTTCTCATTGATTCGGTCCTTTTTCATGCACCTGCTCCTCGAGGAGCTCGGAGGTCAAAGGGAAGCCGGCAGCAGCTCTGGGCCCCAACATCAATCTGACATCCGTAAAACCTCGGTGCAGACAGAAGCAACAGATCCAAAAATAAACTGTTTATCGTAGAAATTTACTCACCAGCTGCGGGACGAAGTCGTCTGAAGCCGTCGTCAGATTCACGGCGAACACGTGATCCCTGAGGAGTTGAAAGCACAGAGTCAGCGCTTAAAGGATTACGACGAACGCGGCGCTTCACAGCCGTGTCAAATCTGGCATTAAACATCCCGTCATGTCTGCGTGTGTTCTCCTTCTTCAAGGCCTCCTTTCTGCATATTTAAACTCTTGTGCTGTTCTGGCGCTTGTTGTAGTTTTTATTCTTACTGGGAAAAGAAGCTGCTTTTGTGTTCTTCTACCTTCTATCCTTTGGGTTTTACGCACCGGAACGACGCCACTTTTGTCCCAGAGTGAGGAAACAGAATATTCACAGTTGAAGTTAATCAGCACTTTCATAAAGTGCTACAAGATTTAATGATCGCTGAAGTTTATGTTGAGCAGAAGAGCCATTAAAAAGTAATTGTCAGAGATGCTGGTGTTGATTGATTCACAGCCTGAACTCATGCATTCCACCTTAACATCTGCTGGTTGTCTTTCTGTGAATTTGATCATTTATTTCTGCAGTCTGTGTGTTTTACTGGGAAGGATAAAAGGCATCAAAACATCATTTAATGTAGCATCTGGGTCTTCCTAGTGTCTTATACTGTTGCGTTTGCCTGTGTTTTCTATTTTTGGTTTTGAAAACGAGACGCTAAATGACAAGAAACGATTATTTCACAAAAGTCAGGTATAAAATATGTCGTAAAGACTTTGAAGGTTGCTGTCACCGATGTGAAATATCATCACAACATCTCAAGTTGTTGTGTTGACAGGTGTCCAGAAAAGGTGTTTTTTTTTAAGAACACTGGTGAAGTTGACGTCATCATTTTGACATCCATGCAAAGTTGTGTCACATTTAGCGAGTAATTCTTGTTTTGGATGATCACAGCAGCAGTTCTGTCACGTATTTCGACATTTTACAATAGAAAAAGTTGATAAAAAAACAGCAAGATTTTAAATAAACATTGATATTTTTGCAAAAATAGGCTCACCATTAACAGCATTAACAGCATAGTAGCAAACATTTAACTCACATGTCTGATCAGTTGCCTCTCGAGACTCTAGAACTATCAAACTGAATTATAATTACTGAATTATCAAAATAGTTGCACATGTAAACAACTCATCCATCGTCTGCTCTATTGCGATGGATTTTTTTGCTGTGTAAATCTCACAGGTTCATTCTGAAACCTCAGGCTGTTGCTAGAAATGTGCAGCGCTGTTGTGTGTTGGTGTGCCGACCTGGCTGCGATGTACAACATGTGATTGATCCGTAGCATCCTCTGGAAGTCCAGACCCAGACGCAGCGTGTCGTTGTCCTGAAGCAAACCCTGAAAACCGGGATACTGATACGACTCTGCAAAAGGGGAGACGACACGGTTTAGATGTGTGTTTTTACAGATGCTATGTGCATATTTAAGACGTGTGTGCGTTTGTCCAATCAGGGAAAAGAAGGCTACTTTGTCACGAGGGTCATTTCACCTCATCCCTGACCATCTCTGGTTTGTTGTCAGTGTATGTCATTAAGTAAAATGTGTACATTTTGTTTTGCCACAGGTTGAGTTAAAAATTCTCAGAGAAGGGGGGGGTTGTGTCGATTTTTGCGTCGTTTTCTTTGCACCAATCTGTGGAGCAACGTTTCAAGTGCCACAACTTGGGAAATAATGTAGCTAGAGTCCTAAAATATTGCAGCCTCATTGATATGTACATATCCTCTTCAATGGTACAACCCTGCCTTGATAGAATAATACAAACCAGTTATATGATGCTGCAACTTTGGCTAAAAAATATCCATGTTTTTTTTTTTTTTTTCTATTCCGATATTCTACCAAGCATGAAACCTTTATTTTTCACCCTAAGAGGCAGATATTTCCTGTGATTTGGCACAAAAAAGAGCTTTAATATGGTGCCAATCAGCCTCATGAGGGGTAAAAAATAAAGGTTTTATGGTTGGTGGAATATCGGAGAAGGCAGAAACATAGACATTTTTTGACCAAATCTGCACCATCATATAATTAGTTTGTATTATTCTACCAAAGCAGGGTTGCACCATTGAAGAGCACTTGTACATGTCAATGAGCCTGCCAAATTTCAGGACTCTAGCTTCTCAAGTTATGGAACTTTAAACATTGATCTACAGATTGGTGCGAAGAAAACTCAACTCAAAATTCGACATGAGCCCACCTTTAATACTTTTTACCTCAAAAACTAATGCTATCTATGACCCCAGATTTCTCACATGGTCAACTCAAAATTCACCACTTCAATAAAGAAATCTGCCAAATTGAAGATGCTCAGGCGTGGGGCATTCGTTGAAAGGACCCCTGGATGAAGCTGGAAACAGAAGCTGCACTCACGCTCCCAGCCGACCACGCCGATCGGCTGCAGGTCTTTGGGGAAGGACGTGGTCGAGGCCGAGTCAGACGGGGAACAGCAGGCGAGCGCGAGAAGCAGCAGCAGCAGCAGCGGCGACGACGACGACGACGGTGGCGGCGGTCGCCACGGCAACAGCCAGGTGGTCGAGGCCATTTTTTGGTGGACAGAGAGGGGAGGAGGGGGGCCAGGCGGCGGAGATGTCAGCAGGTCATGATGGACGCCAGCTGTGAGGGAAAGACAGCAGGATTAGAAAACTGATATTCATACCAAACATTTGTTTTGTTCAGTTCAGTAAAACAAGTATCGCTGCCTCGTGGTTGCTTCAGCTGTTTTTGGTTCCAGTCGTTGGTCGACTGAAGTCAGCGACAGAGTTTTAGAAAATGGCAGCTGCAGCAAAGTCAGATTTAAAGTCAAAGTTTCCAAAGATTCCAAACTCTGGAAGAATTTGAACTGATACCAGAGGGGGAAAAAAAAGTGTTTTGTGGACGGCGAAGAGTTTGAAAATCAGACCAGAGAAAACACACCAGAGGCCTTGTACATCTGTTTACTTGAAGAGTTCATTTGCAAAAACAGAAAACTCCATCTGCACAAACCTTCAGAAAACCCACTTTCCATCGTCTACCTGAGACAACATCAATCAAACTTAAGTTATCTCTATTTCTGTCATTTCTACTGAGTCAAATCCACTCAGCTTCAGTTTGATTGATACTATCTCATCTTCACTTCTCTCCTGCTCCCTGTGCTCACTCACACTGTATTTTCACAATAAAGCTATTTGCATTTACATTTTTTTTTTTTCTGTTTTTGTTGTCAGACGATGGAATGAGGATGAACGAGTAGCTCATAAGCTACATGCTAAGCAGTCACGTCCTCGCTGCTGCTCTGCTTCGCCAACATCCTGATTTCATAACGTCGTCTGACGAACTCACCGCACAGGTTAAAGTGGACGGCTGTGATGTGAATTCAGCTGGATTTTTAAAGCAATTTAAGCTTCTACCAATGTCGGAAAACAAATCAGGAGAAAATAAGTTGCTTGCAAAATATCCACCATGTTGCACTTTTTTAACATACAGACCGAACTTTGTCACTTTGTTAAGAGCTTTAATAGAAACCTGGGTTTCTTTTGGGGTGTCACTATCGACTTACATAACGAGCCCTCTTCTTAAATTCTTTACACCGCGTTGGAGATTCAAGCTTAAGTCTACACCACAGTTTGTCACGGTAAAATAAACCCAAATTAAATGGTCATTTTCCTTTATCGGGGGAAAAAAATTAATAATTTACACTGTCGACTAATCAGCAAAATAGCTAAAAGATTAATTAACAGAAGAGAAAGAAGTAATGAAAAGCAGACGTCTCCCCGGTTGTCCAATGATATAAATTATGAAGGATTAGCATTTAGCCTAGCGGTTAGCCCAGCATTAGCCGCAGAGCAAAACCTGCAGTCAATTACAGGGATTAGCTTCACACACACACACACGATTATGATTAATATTAGAGCTGTAAAATTACAATAAACTAAAGAAAGAGAAGACGAGCTGCAGCAAAGTACAGCCTGAGAGAAATGATGTGTGAACGTTAAAGCATGTAAACAAATTCTAGTGGATGCTAAAAATACAAGTATGAACCAGTAAACGTGCAAAATCTGGGCTTTTTTTATTACTATCATTTCCATTCAGCTCATTTGTCATCAGCTTTGATTTGTTGTATATTAATGATCAGGATCATTATCAGGTATCTGTAGAGCTCGATGATGAGCTGATCATTTGAATCAGGCGTGTTGGAAGAAGGAAACATCTAAAACATGCAGGATTGTGGCCCTCGAGGACCAGGATTGGACACCCCTGGTCTAATCATTATTTGTCTTTAACCCTTTAAGCTGTGTCTGGGTGTTGTTTTTTTTTCATGTGCTTTGTCACGTTTTGATTGGCTTTGAATTTGATGATGAATTCTGAGACATTTTTTTAAAATTATTTTAATCATTTTTGGACAATTTGAGTCATTACAGATTATTTCGTAATCATTTCTGGACTATTTTTTTGGTCATTTTTACGATGATGCAAAGGTTTCTGGGTCTTTTTTTAAACAAGTTTCAACTTCTTTTAGACATATTTGAGTCATTTTAGACTTCTTTAGACAAGTTTTAGTAATTCTGAACACATTTCAAGATGTTATGGACATTTTTAAAACACATTTGAGGCAATTTTTGAGTTTTTGAGCAGTGAAAAATGAACTCACAATGAGTAAAAATATGACAGGAGCTAAAAACGTCCAGAAATTGCTTTGAGTTCAAGAGGTTAATATGAGATTTCTTTGCCTCCTCAGCATCAAGTATGAGATCAGAAACTGTGAGAACATCACAGAGTCCGTCTTACTGAAGATGCACGAGTTAAAAAAAACAAAACACAACAACACCACATTAACACAGTTTTGTGGCTCACACACTTATTTTATTTTTTATATTTTTATTTTTATTTTTATTTTTATTTTATTTTATTATTATTATTTTTCTTTACACCGTAGTTACTATATTGTATCTTTTTATTTATCATACTACGATTCCTTTTATTTTATTTTATTGTACTAGAACACTGCATGCCCCTGTGTTCCCTTCTTGGAAGCTGCTGGAACTGTAAATTTCTCTTGGAGATGAATAAAGTATCTATCTATCTATCTATCTATCAAAACTTCCATCACAACTACATTTAAAAAAAAAAAAACTTCATAAGTAAACATTCAAACTTGTACTTGGTGTGACAAAAGTGGCATCGACTCATCCCTAGTGACCGGTAAACTCCACAGGCTGGCGCTTGTGTGTTTCCTGTGTTAGCTGGAAGCTCTTAGCGCTCATGTAGCTCGGCTCACGCCTCAGTAAACGGGGAGAAGACGGCGTTGACACGACTTAGAGCCGCTTCCTCCTGTGGTTCTGACGATGAGGACGACGATCAAAACAGAAAAACGAAAGGAGACGTTAAGTGAGTGACACCTCCTTCTTTTTGTAGTTGGTTTCCAAACTAGAGGAGAAGACGAAGAAGAGGAGGAGGAGGAGGGAGGTAGAGCTTGTCACCTCTGGGACCACCTCTCTCTTTTTCATTTGTCACTTCAGATGACAGGACGAGGCAGCCGAGGTGAGGAGACGACAGCGAGGAGGTGATGAAAGAGGAGATGAGAGGGGAGGCGTCACCTTCATGCTCACTTCTTTTCTGCTTTGTCACCGTGTGACATAACGGAGCGAAAACGAAGGAGGCGAAGAGGAGGAACACGAAGAAACTGTCACGACCCGAAAGTGCCGGAAAGAAATGAGACGAGGATGAAGTGGAGGAGCTGAGACCCCCACTCAGCCCCAAAACCACAATATCGTTTAAAAAAAAAAAAAAAAAAAAAAAAGTTATTTTCTTCATGATTTCACTCAGAAAGGTGAAGGATCTCTGACTTTCTATGGCTTTAGAATATATGAAAGTTTTTTGAATGAAAGTAGTTTTTGACGAGTCCACAACCAGCTGAATAATAAAAGTAACTTTTAGTGACAAATTATCTTCTTCTAAAAAATGATAATAATTATTTGCTGTTTAAATGGAAAGTATTTGACACTAAAGAACATCTCCATATTTATTTATTTATTTTAAATATTATGGAATAAGTTTTTTTTTTTTCCATACTTGAAAACGATAAAGGACTTCCGATTTTCTATGAATACAGAATTTATAAAAGTTTACCTTTTTAAACAAAATTACCACTAAACTTTTTTACAGTACGCTAATTTGTTTGAACTTAAATGTAAGTTTTATCTAGAAAAGTCCACAACCTGTTGGTTACTAAAAAGGCATTATTAATGACAACTTCTCTTCTAAAAAATAAATGTTTGCTGTTTCTTAACACACTTGACACCGAAAGACATTTCAATATCCACATTTTGGCTTTAGAGAAAAACATCTTTACACACTGAATTATTAAACCCTCTGAACCTCAAAACACA